ATACATGACAATTGGTATGGACCAAACATTATTCTGGTGCTGGAGATTAGAACATTGAACACAATGATGCTAAAGCTATATTTCCTCCTAGAATGTGATACAATGCCAGGTATTAATTATGCTACAAAGAGTAATCAAGCAGGGTAGGGGAATGGAGGATAAATTAAATGAAGAGATAGAACAATTTTAAATATTTTGATTAAGGAAGGTCTTGATGAGGGGACCTTAGAGCAGAATCAAATGAAGTGAGGATGCTAGACATCTTATTTGTAGACAGCTGTCCCAGGCAAAGAGAATAGAAAGCACAGTCACTATGTCAGGAACTTGGTGTTTTTCAAGAATAGTACAAAGTGTAGTGTTTCTGGAGTTTAGGAATCCATAGAGGGGGTTGTAGAAGACATAGCCAGGGACCTGATAATACAGAGTTTGTAGCCATATATGGTGGCAACTACTTATTTAATCACCAGATATTTATCGTGCACATGTTATATGTCACATATATAGGAATTTAAAAATCAGTAATCCAGAAGTCTTCCCAGAGTTTATAAGTGTTAGTGATATATGTAATTGTTCATATAACATGAAGTAGTGGTATTTAGTTGGCAAACACTGTTACACAGATTGATTGCTTATCTAAATAATTTAACTAAAATAAGTCCACTCATTTTATTTTAAAATACATGAAAGAGAAATACCTGTTTTTGTGAATCTCATTGGTTGCAACAGAGGCTTATTTCATTTTTTTTTTAAGTAAGTATGAACTTGGGAATGCAGTATAGAAGAACTTTAAGGAAATCCTAGAATAGAGGCTGTGATACTGCTAGACCTTCCAGTGACTAGAGCCTAAAGTCCTTATTCATATCCAAGTGTATTATCTGTTGCTGTGTAACAAAATATTTTACAATGTAGTAGCTCAAACATTTATCATTTTATAGTTTTCTTTGTGTTCAGAATCTGGGCATGACTTAGCTGGGTGCTGTTGCTGAAGGTGTCACAAGGCTACTATCAAGGAGTTGGTAGGAGTAGCACTCATCTTCAACTTGATAAATTCAGCTTCTCAGATTACTCACTTGGCTGTTGGTAGTCCTCAGGTCCTTGCTGGCTTTTGGTAGAGGTTTTTCTTTGCCATGTGGATCTTTTCAGCTTACACGAAGCTACCTAGCTTCCCTGAAAGAAGGTTAACAAAATGGAAGCCACAGGTTCTTTATAACTTAAGTCTCGAAATCACATCCATCATTTCTGCTGCATTCAGTCACTAGAAGTCAGTAATTTGGTTCATACTTCAAAAGATGACACAGGGCGTTGAATGCCAGAAAGTGGGTATTATTAGGCTTGTTTAGAAGATTACTGTCATACCAGCTAATTCTCAGAGAGTTCATCAGTTTTTTTATTCTTTTTTTTTTTTTTTTTTTTTTTTTTTAAGCTTGTGAGGCACACTCGGTACCACTGAGCTAAATCCCCGGCCCTGTTTTACTTCTTTATCATAAGTGGGCCTCAGCCATTTTTAATCTGCATCTCTTTCCCTATCAGTTACGTTTCTCAACTATAAGTCTATGTTTTCCCCTACTTATTTTAGTTTCCCCTTATCTTTATCTAGGGACCAAGATAAACTGTCCTGCCTTGTGTTATTTCACCTCCTGTCCTCTGCTGATAACTACTTTGATTATATCCATAGTACCCACTTTACAGTTTTTAGAGAGAAAAGGTAGGTGGGATGAGAGATAAGAATATTGTACGTTTTAATATTACCATACTATCAGCAAGAATGGTGATTAAGGCAGGGTTCCTCAGAAAACAATGTACATACTATACTTTAAATACTAAATATTGTTGTGGATCTTTGTAGATTTAAAAGTAGATCATTGAGTTGATCAAATTACTTACATCTTGAAAAAATTGCCTAATATTTTATAACTTTTCTATTTCCATAAAAGTAGATTGTAAAATGCAAACAAAATTTTTTTGTTTTCCTAGCTAGTAAAATATTTAGGATAAATAGGTATAATTTATATATAGAATTATTGCTTATTTTTGAGACTTTATACAAAAGTATATAAATTTTTAGACATTATGGAGAGAACTATACAAAAATCTCTGATGACATACAGTAAAATATATATATGTACATATATATATGATAAACATCACCTAGAATTCACCATTGACATTTATTCATTTTGTATTTATTCTTTATCCCCTAAGGAAAAAAAATTATAGTTAAAATATGAATCTTTTTAAACCAACATTCTAGGTTGTGTTTCAAGAAACTTGATGTAACTGTTGTTACAAGTTTGGTGGGTATTTCTCTGGCTCTTTTATTCTTGTAAATATACATCTAAAGTACATAGATATAATATGGTTTTATGTTTGTAATTTATATGATAGTATATACTTCTATACTTTTTTATTTTTAACTTACTTGCTTTTCTGGCCTTTTCCTAAATTATTCTTTAACTTTCAACACATTATCCCATCATATTTTATTATCCGTTCTCTTATTAGACATCTAGGATGTTTTGAAAGAATGTTTTGTTTTTGTAAACATTGCTGTATTTTGTACCTTTGACAAATATTTTCTACTTAATGGACAAATTACTGTGCAATTTGTAGTCTCAGTTAATGTAAGAAATCTTGTTTACCCTCATTCTCACAATAAATTATTTTTAGACTTGAAAGATTTTTATCAATTTGCAATTGGAAAACTAAACTCTTGCTTTGTTAATCTCCTTTTTTTTCCTTCATTGCCAGTGTGATTGAGTAGTCTGTTTTTTGGGTGTTGTCATCTGTGAGGTGCCTTGTGGCTCCATCCTTCATCCATTTGTAGGAATTCATTATATATCCTGGATATTAATATTTGTCTGTTATATATATTGTAGATAGATATCTTCTAACATATTACTTGCATTAGTCATTTGTGATGTTTTCCTTTTTAACACAAGTTTTGGGACCCATTTTCCTGTCTTGGTCATTTGTGCTAAGATTTTGCAAAAATAAGAAGGAAGGAGAGTTAAAGCTAGTAAATGAAGACAGTATAAGAGTGGCTATTTGACTATCAACTATGATATATATTTGAACAAAAATTATGGAGTTTCATAGTTCCAAATTGTTTAGCTATCTTCAAAAACTTATAATTGTTAATGCTGTAAAACTTTTACTTAACAATTCAAGCTTCATATTTTTTTTTTCTTGGTACTGTGGATTGAACTCAGGACCTTGCGCTTGCGAGACAGGCGACTGAACCACGGAGCTAAATCCCCCACCCAGGCTTCATAATTTTTAATGGTAGTGGGTTACCCTTTCTGTGAATCAGAATGTAGGATTTCACACTTTTTCTTTTGATAAAATACAATTAAATTTATTTACTTACAGGATTAATGTATAGTTGGCATCTGGCAGCCTCCACTATTTTTCACATATAAGTACTGCCTTAGACAGTGATAATTGTTGAAATACGTTGAAGAGGAAAAAAAAAAGTATTGTAGATAAATTTTCAGGAAAAATGTATATATTTTCAGATAGGCAAGTTCTATCATTTTTAACAGCTATGAACTTATATTTTTGTTTGTAGATCAATTTCTTTAGGTCTCCTTATGAAAATAGTATAGTTCTTACTGTTACTACTTTTCAAATTTTAAAATTAAATTCAGAAATGGGAGTTTAGTATTATTATATTTCACAAAGATAATTCTTTTTAGTGAAATTACAAGATTGAATCTCATTTTGAAGTATGATTACAAGATTCTAAGTGGAATAATTGATTTTAATTTGACTAAGCATTATCACAAAATGGGATTCTGAAATAATAAAAATATAATTTCATCCACAGTTATTTGTCAAGCATTGTGATAGAGTTAAACTTTTTTTCTTTATTTTTTTCTTTTGGAGTGATGCAGATCAATCTCAGGGCCTCATGTTATACAAGTTCTGTACCACTAGTCTATACTCCTACCCAGTAGTGTGCATCTTGAGTTTTAGATATTAAACCCACAGTCAGAGGGAAGAATAATAGAATAGCTTAGTCCTTGATTGGATGAAGTTGGAATTTGGGAGATAAAGGAAGAGTTTGGTTCCATTTATATTTTTTTATTGGGTTTATTGATACATTTTAGGTATACAGTACAGTTACATTCATTATTAGGCTCTTGTACCTTTACATGACAGGACTTGGTTTTCATTTTTCCCCTTGTGTCTGCCCTTCCCCCCCTTCTCCCCTCCCCATTTACAAACACTTTATTTCCATTTTTTCATTTTTTCCTATTTTTTTCTTTTTCCTTATTACCTTTCCCCTACCCTTCCCACTTTCCCTATACCTTTAGCCCTTGTCTTCCTATTTCACATTGTCAATTATCTCATTAGGATCTTATGTACTGTTATAGTTTTTCACACCAGAGAAAGTTTTCGGTATCTACACATATATGACTTATTTATTTCACTTAGGAGTATATTCTCAATATGTATCCATTTTCCTATGAATGACTCTAATTTCTCATTCTTTATGGCTGAGTAGTATTCCATTTTATAGAAAAACCACATCTTCTTTATCCAATCTCCACCTGATGGGCATATGGGCTGTTTCCAAGTTTTACCAATTACAAACTGTGCCGCTATAAACATAGGTGCGCATATATCATTGTGGTGTGATTATTTTAATACTTTTGGAAAGATACCCAGCAGAGGGATGGCTGGGTCAAATGAAACCTCTAGTCCCAGCTCTTTGAGGTATCTCCATATTGATTTCCATAGTGGTTGTACTAGTCTGCACTCCCACCAACAATGGAGAAGGGTTCCTTTCTCCCCACAACCCCGCCAACATTTGTTATTGGTCGATTTCTTGGTAACAGCCATTCTTTGTGGGGTGAGGTGGAATCTCAGCATTGTTTTCATCTGCATGTTCCATTTATATTTTAATTAGAAGTATCAAGATATTTGTTGCTCTAGGAAAACGTATAAGCATGAAACTTTTTTGAGATATTTGATTGTTTATTTTTATATTATTTTAGGTTTCCAGTAATTATCTGCAAGAATCGCCATGACCCCAGCTCTGAGGGAAGCAACAGCAAAGGGTATCTGCTTTTCATCTTTGCCAAGAAGCATGGAGTCTGACAAGTTACTATGTATGGAAAGTGCAAGAACTATAGATGAAAATCTAAAGGGAGATGCTTTCTCTCAATTGCTGGGATTTCCGACTCCTGAACCTACTCTTAACACTAATTTTGTGAATTTAAAACATTTTGGCTCCCCCCAGCCTTCCAAACATTATCAGACAGTTCTTTTAATGAGTTCTAATTCTACTTTAAATAAATACAATGAGAATTGTAAACAAAAGAAATCAGGAGAGACCAACTGCAATAAACTGAGAAACATACTGCGTAATGGCAGCAACATTCAGCTCAGTAAAATGTGCCATTCTCGTTCTGAAGAGTTCATTAAAAAGGAGCCTCTATCAGATACAAGCCAGTGCATGAAAGATATACAAATCATTTTGGATTCAAATCTAACCAAAGATACTAATATAGATAAAGCACAACTGCAAAACTGTAAACAGTTCCAAAAGAATACCCTTCTGGATAAAGTTACTGATGCTGACATTAAAAAGGGTTTATTGTGTTGTGCTCAAAAGAAAATTGGACCTGGCCTCTCAGATGTGCCTAATAGTTCCTCAGTTGCTGAGAAAGAGGAGGAAGTGAATGCTCGTTTACTTCACTGTGTAAGCAAACAGAAAATTTTACTTAGCCAGGCTAGAAGAACACAGAAACATTTGCAGATGCTCTTGGCAAAGCACGTTGTTAAGCACTATGGTCAGCAAATGAAATTTTCTATGAAACATCAGCTGCCCAAAGGGCGTTTTCATGAATCTACCACAGTTTTGGATAACAGTTTACCTAAATGTCCTGAGATTAAGCCAGAAGTCAACATATTGACTGCAGAGAATAAATTGTGGGATGATGCACAAAATGGCTTTACTCGGTGTATGGCTGCAGAAATCCAGAGATTTGCACTGTCGGCTACAGGGCTATTGTCTCATGTTGAAGAGGGTCTGGATTCTGATGCAACTGATAGCAGCTCTGATGACGAGTTGGATGAATATACCATTAGAAAAAATGTGTCAGTGTAAGTGCAAAATTATTATTAGACCTTTTCCTGTTCTGTATGTAGCAGCCCTTGGGTTCAAGAAATAGATTTTCTAAACTCTTAATGCCATATATATATATATATATATTTTTTGGTATTGGGGATCGAACTCGAGAACTTGCACTTGGGAGGCAGATGGTGGCACCACTGAGCTAAATGCTCGGCCCTTAATGCCATTTTTTTTAAAATTGAGTTTATTGGTACAATCTAGGTATACAGTACAGTTACATTCATTATTGGGATCTTGTACCTTTACATGACAGGTCTTGGTTCTCATTTTTTCCCCTTGTTCCTGCCCCCATGTAAATACTTCTTACGTAATGTTATTTAGGGAATAATGACAAGAAAAAACTGTGCAAAAGTCTGTACAATTATTTTCCTGAATATTTCTAGTATGTGGTTGGTGGAATCTGCACATGTAGAATCTGTTGATATGGAGAGCTGACTGTTGAAAACAACTCAACTGTTCTCTTTAGGGAAGACTTATGCAGGAATAACAACACTAATTAGCTATAAGTGAGCTTTTTCCTGTTTTTGAATACCATAAAGGCCTAAATGTTTCGATTAAGTGACCTACCCATTAAGTATGGTTAAAACTTGGTGGCTCACACCTGTAATCCCAGCACTTGGGAGGCTGAAGCAGGAGGATTGCTGTGAGTTTGAGACCAGCCTGGGCTACTTAGTGAGTTCCAGGTCAGTCTCAAATACATAGTGAGACCCTGTCTCAAAAAAACAAAAACAAAAACAAAACAAAAAAAAAAATCAAAAGGTTAAAACTCAAAAAATTGAAATTTGTACACAGGGAACCCCCATTGGCTTTGGGGTTTTATCAGATTAGAGTACATATAAATTTACCTACTTCTTTTTAAAACTGTGTATTCATTCATAGCTTTCAGCCTTGATCTTTACCAACTCAGTCACTTTTTGCTGCATTAATCTAAAATATAATGCCTGCTGTAAGGTGCCTATTGAAAGCTTATTATGTAGTAGGCAGTATAGGGAAAAAACTTTTGTCAGACTGTAATAACCCTCCAAAACAGATCTGATTAACAGAATCTGTTTCCAAGATAATGGAAATGTTCTAAATTCATGTTATCCAATAGGCACTAGCCTTATGTGGCTGCCAAGATCTTGAAATTTAGCCAGTGATAATGAAGAATTGAATTTTGAATATATTTAATTTGACTTAATTTATATAGCCAGGTAAAACATAGTTTTTAATCTAACTTTTGAGGAATCTATTGATGTCTCCAAGTTGATATCAATTACTATATAAAAGTCCATGACTTTTTCACATTCTCAAAAATGAGTAAAGATTAGAATTAGCCAAATGCATTAGTTTTTTTATTAATAAATATCAGATCAGCATTTTTTATAGTGAGAAATGAAATGTAATTTTTATGGTGAGAAGTGAAATGTAAAAGAACACTAGACATTCTAGTCACTTTGTATTCTGATTTCATTTTAACTAAAATTTGCTTGAATGTGGGAGCTATACTGAGCACAGATTTATTTTTCTTGCTGGCATTATGCTGGATACTTATACATTATATCTCATTTAATTCTTTTGATAACTTTGGGATTTTATTGATATTATCCTTATTTCACTTAAGAAACAGAGTTGGAATGTTTAGGTAATTTGCCTGTGACTAAAAATGCAAATAAGTTGGTCAAGCAAAGATTTTTCCCACATGCATATGACTTTATGCCCATGCTTGTTTTCTGGAAAGTGATAACTTTCTCAACATTATGACTGATTCTTATAGATACCAGAATGGCAAGGCACATATTTTCTGAAATAAGCTCAGTAATATTTTTTTTACATTTAAAATACTTTCAAAAGGAATTCACTTTAATACAATTTAGTAGGTTAACTTAACAAATTAAATATTTACTTTTTTGTTGAAGGGAGTTAAAGGCAGGTTTATCTCTTTTAAGCTAGAAAGAGAAATAAACTTAAAAAACTTTTAGTCTATGATGCTATTTTTATTAGTATTTGCTTTCATTGTTCCCTTGTGTTCCCTAGTCTGCATACATTTTATCATTAAATCATATCTTATTTCTTTTAGGTTGCCGATATATCTTTTAATCTTAAATACCCTAAGCTCTATTAAGGATAGAAACTACTTTCAATATGTTCTGTTAATTTCTTATATCCCATCATATAATTATTGATTGATCAAAATTTTATTTTAAGATTTGTATTTATTCTTTCTACTGAAAGAACACTAACTTCAGACATTTGTATAAAACATGCATAAATGGGACGATCCAAACTGTTAAAAAGTATTTTATACAAACGTCAAACAATATACTTTCAATTTATTTTTTTAGCTCTGTCAGTTTATTGAGGAAAACTGAAGTAAAGTAACTTGGAAAAAAAAACTGGGTCCTGGTTTAAAAAGTTTTCTATACTATCTTTTGTCTCTTACTCAGCTTGAAGGGCTTTGTGAATTGTAGACATAGATTTTAGAAAAAAATGAGTCTAAGAAGTTTAATGTCAGGGGCCGGGGATTTAGCTCAGTGGTACTGCTACTTGCTTCACAAGTGCAGTGTCCCAGTTTCAATCCCCAGTACCAGAAAAACAAACAAACAAAAAGTTTAATGTCAGTTTCTAGTGTCTTGAATTATCGACCTTTTAGAATTACAATGACTTGGTTATTAATGCCTGTATTTGTATTTCTAGAAGTCAGACTGTGTTCTAGGGTCAAACTCATCTGATCTACACAAATAAAATATGTTTTCTATAATCAATAATACTAAATTTATCTAACTCATAGAATTCCCTAACTCACAAAATTTGATAATTAATTGTTTGGGTTTTTATTACTTGTTTTGGCTACTTGAAATCCACATATTACATTTTAAATTTTATTTGTTTTGAATATTTTTGCTGATGGTAACAGATTTCATGTGAGATTCTTCACCATTTGATTAATTTCAAAGTGTACTGAACTTTGATAGCAAATAACTTGTAAATTCTCTTTATCTTTTGCTATGAGTATTTGTCTTAAATTGGATTTAATCAGTTCAATTTCAGTTGTTAAATTTATTTAAAAATGTGTAATATCCTGTTTATTTTCTTTCTTTTAAAGTTCACTTTAATATTTTCTTTTCTACCTTTGTGGAAACTGATTTTTCAAATGTAGTTGAGTATTTTAACCTATACATTTCAGAATTAAACATAAAATAGTGGGTAGAAATGCATTATGTGGACCTAAATTTTTAAGTGAATGCTAAAACAATTAAATTTTCATTGTCTGTACTGACTATGAAGACTTCTCAGCTTAAAATCATGAGTTCCATAGTGGCAAATACTAAAGCTTTCTTCAACTTAGAGTATTTCAAGAGCATGTGTTACTTTCTCTGTTGTGTAGATCTACTGCCTAGCATTGTCTTCTGTGTGGTGGTTGTTTGGAATTTGTTGAATGAATGGATGAATATCTCTATATAAGATGCATACATATAAAAAGTTGGGGTTAGCAGTCCCTATATACAGTCACTATATACAGTTGACCAACTCACTTCATGGGTTCTGTATTCATAGATTGAACCAACCATGGACAAAAAACACTTGAATAAAAATTGCATCTATATTGAATATGTACAGGTTTTTTCCTTGACTTTATTCTGTAAGCAATACAATGTAACAACCATATTTACATTGTATTAGATATCATAGATAATCTAGAAATGATTTAAAGTTTATAGGAGGATGTGTATATAGGTTACATGCAAATACTGTGCCATTTTATATAAGGGACTTGAGTATCTGAATTTTGCTCTCTGTAGGGATCTTGAATCAATGTTCCGTGGTTACCAAGCAATGGCTGTATACATTTTTAAATTTTTCATTCTGGAGTTGCTACCTGATGTCATTTTCCTTCCTCCCTTTGGCTTTGATACTAAACTGGCTGCCAGTTGTTTTGTACATCTTAGACACTACATGAAAGTATGTTTAAGGAATGAATAAAGTATGCCACCATTTGAACTTTAAAATAATGATTTTATTATTGCAATTTTAAAAAATCATTAAATAAAATGTATTATATTTGCCTTAAAAAGCTTAGATTATATTACTATATGTCTTCTAGTTTTCTTGAGTTTATAATCCTAATAGGAAACATAAATTCCTTTACTATGGCCAGGTAATTAACACATTAGCCATCACCATTACATTATTGTTTTAAGTATATATCTGAGTTGCCCTTTGTATTTTCCCTCCAAATATATAGGCAATAGATAAATTCTTATGGTTGTTATTGATAGACTTTAAAAATAAGTTTTGGTTGAATGAGTAGTGTGCACTAAAAGTTAAGAAAATTTATTTCTTTCAGGATTTTAAGTAGGTATCATGTTTTTTGCAGGTTTGAGATAAAAGTTTGTTTCTTATTTTCTTTACAGGTTTGTAATATGAATGGAATTTTTTTTCCTCAGTGTTTCATTCTCAAAACAAGTGAAAGTACTTAGGTTCTGGAAATAATTGCATAACAATCCTGGCTTGCTCTGTGATCCTAAGCAAGATTAGGCTTACTCTTTCTAAATCAGATTCCTTTTCTTTGATTTACTTTAGAGTCTAGAGATAATTAGATGGAATATTAACTGTAATGTTCCAGTACATAATAAGGCATGAATAAGACGGCCATAAAGTGTGCATTATGAGACAGTTCACTATTGAGGAAGACTGAGGCTTAATACTACTGGGAGAAACTTGGAGTGACAGTGTCAAATACATGCCTAAGTGGTAACCCCATGTGAGAGCTTAGGAGCAGGTAGTTTTAGACCAGTTCACATCAGTTTTTTATTTCAGGCAATTTGTGATAGTGTTAGTTCTCTATCACTTCTATTCTACCACTTGGGTAGCACAACAGTGTCAGGCAACAAACAAAAGAAGCCCTCCGACAAGAAATGTGGATGTTGGTAGTTATGAAGTCAGGTGTATTAAACTGGTTAAATGTAAGGGGATGTGGGTGGCTTGC